GAGCGAACCACAAAGGTTCATCATCAGAACCTAGCACTCGAGGCGCAAAGCAACTTTCACCGTCAACTCCAGTGGTGCTTTCTAAACAACCCGAATTGCCGGCGGAAGGTATAAAGCCAACACTCGATAGGCAAACCCACGCTGCGTTAACTCTCGTGTGCACCAATGTTCCCGAATCCAAATCTGGCACAATAAAAGGCAAGTTGCAAAACGATCGCAACCAGTGGAGTTCCATTTGCGAGGCGATGGGTATTCGGGTGGAGCCAGCAACGCTTCAACGCGTAGCGCGTCACCCGATCTCAGTGCACTCTGGTGAACCTCGAATTCTTCGAGTAACACTAGATTCAGCAGATGAGACACAGGCTGTCCTGCTCTCAGTAGTTCGTCTTCGCAACTCACCGAGCTGAGTGCACATATTACCTGATCTACCTTGGAAAGATCGCCCAAAAAAGCAGGTGACCAACGCGGCATTCTTAATAGCAAGAACGAGAAAACCATATTTGTTCATGGTGTTCCCGAGCTTCTGCATTCTTCTGATTACGATGGGCAAACACATGACCGAGAGCAGTGCTGCTACATCCGCGAAACATTCTCGGTTGACTAAGTTATTGCCAAATTCTTGGTAAGAGTTCTGTCATCACCTAACTACAAGGCCTGCGGTCCAAGACTAATAAAAGTAATATTACACTCCAAGAGAATGACACAAGTTCTTTTGAATAACTGGTTAAACTTCCGAGCCAGCTTTACAACAGGAAGCCGGCTAAAGGCAGCAGACAGATGGCCAATAGTCGTAAACTATTCGATGGAACTTACAAACGCTACAAATACCCTATCTGCACAGTCCTGCGGAGAGACCGACACAACAGCGCCCAAGGCACACAACATGACAAAGCACAGCACGAGTGAAACGTCTGTTCAGAAACGCTCAGTAATGTCATGCGACTTGACGTAAATTCATAAACCAAAAAACGATTAATGGCCGGCCACCTAACGGCCGGCTTACAAACTAACACAAAGTTGACATCCAACAACGCACACCTAACAACAAAAACCTCATGTTGTATGTAGAAAAACGCCAAAGGCTATCTTGGTAACTTGGCCGAACTCCATGCCTCATAACCGCGGAACCTCGTCATGATTACAGGGAGGTGATACAACCTTGAGATAACCGATTCTGAGACCAATTTACCCGGTAAGTCGCTGTTTCGAGACGATAGAACCGAAAGGGGCGGTGGTGTGATACTTTATTATAATACAAACCTCCGATGTGAAGTTTTCGATCACCCAGAAATCCGAGCTACTGATTCGCTTTGGTGCCGCCTATGGTTGCAAAACAAGGACACATGTCTACCAGCCGTGGTTTAGCTCTCGCCAAACTCAACGTCGGAAATGGACTCCAAAGTGAACCACGTCTTTCAGGTTGCTTTGAAAAAGTCTTACACCCACATTTTTACCGCTGGATACTTTAATGTGCACGACATAGAAATACCAACAACCAACGTTAAGCAGTTTAAAGCCTGTTTGCAATAGCTAATTGCTAGCCACCCTCTGTACAACCACATACTTTCTCCCACCAGATTTCGAACTGCTAACAAGCCATTGGGTCTTGAGCTTACTAACGATGAACTCATGGTTGACAGGATAGTTACAAACACGCCACTGGGACCCAGTGAGCATGTTACTCTACTATTTGGTTATATATGCTGTGCAGATTATCCTGAAAAGTATGATAATAAAGTGTATCCTGGCAGGAACTGTAATGCGTTATCTACGCTTGTTAAGGATACATCTTGAAAGTTTTTAACCGAATGCTCCCCCAGATGTTGCCTTGGAAACTTTTACAAAGATGTTTAACCCACTGATATCGCCCGCAACAGAACGGAAGTCCTCCCAACAGAAAAACAAGCGCGTCGTTTTTGCAGAGCAGAACACGTAAATGTATGTCCCGGAGGGATTTAGCATGGCGGGCTCACAAGGACTGCTCGAATGCTGAAAACTTGACTGTCTACGTGACGCATCGTAAATGCTGTGTGAAAGTGCTCCGCTAAGACAAGGTCACTCATCAGCAGCAGTTAATGGAGCGATTCTACACGAACCGCAAGCTTCTGTACAGGCACGTTAACAGCCTTCGAAAGGTGAAGCGCGGGGTTCAAGCACTCGTCACGGCTGGCGGATGCAGGCGGTCGGGAATGGTACCAGCTGATCTCTTACGGCATCATTACTCCCAAACGTTCCAGCAGGTAATGAGCCCAAAGATTCTCCTCGTTTCCGTCACCTCACCGTGGGGTTTAGCCAAAAATCACCTTCACTGTAGAAGCTGTGTTGAAGAAGTTGTCATCCTTCTGTATCCACAGTTCACTTGGAGTCGACAGCATGCGACCAAATGCACTGCAGGCGGTAGCTAATGATCTAGCAGAACCACTGATTGTTTCTATCAGCCATGTCTAGATAAGAACCATATTCCATCAGTAAGGAAGCGAGGGTTATAATTCCAATCCATAAAAGAGGTAGCCGCACTGGTCCCAACAACTACCGTCCAGTAACACTACTTCCTGTACTATCCAAAGTTATGGAAGCAATCATCGCAGTTGCGCTGATGCAGTATCTGGAAAGCCACAAGTTAATAGTCCCAGTGTAACACGGCTTTTGTCAAAAACGTTAACGTAATACTAACCTATTAACTTCACCTAATATGTGGACTGAAGCGGTTGATGATGGCGCAGGAGTCGATGTCATCTACCTGGACATTTCAAAAGCGTTTGATCGCTTAGACCAACAACTTTTTCTTCAGAAGCTTCGGAACTACGGCATTGGTGACCCAATCCTGAGTTGGAGTAGAAATTTTCTACACGAACGACGGGTAGAGGTGAGATTCCGAGAATCATTGTCCGATACAATCAATGTGGTGTGTGGTGTATCACAAGGCTCGGTGCTTGGACCTCGTCTATTCGGTTATTAACGATGTGGCGAGATCAATTGCTTCCGCTTTCCTATTTTCCACTAATGATATCAAGAGATGGCGAAAGATCAGCGGACCGGAGGACCACGGACGGCTCCAATTCGACATTAACACTGTTTCGAACTGGTCAGTTCAAAACGCCCCACCATTCAACCTAGACAAATGTCGCGTTGTGCAACTACACCATAGACATAACTACATATCTTTCCTTGGGACCAAGGGATTGCAGACCAGCTTTCAGAAACGTAATTTTGGTATGCTCTTACAGTGCGACCTCAACTGTTAAAAACAGGCTGAGGTAGCTGCGAAAAGAGGCAACCAGCATGTCGGCATGCTGCGAAAGGCATCCGGGAGATTCGGCCCATCAATCTTCCCAATGATGCACAACCCCTACCTGCGCTCGCATGTTAAATACGCTATCCAAGCTTGTCAACCTTGGTTGAAGCGCGATGTAGAGGTGCTAGAGGCACCATAACGAAGGGAAACAAAGAATTCAATGGGCATGGGCTACCACTCTTACCACCGAAGGCTGAAGTTACTGGGAATTTTCAGCGGACCCTGTCGAAGGCTGCGCGTATCAGATATTGAGTGACTCCAACCACGTATGCAACCACTTGCCGAAACTTAACCACAACACGCAGCTCAGGGGTAACTGCTTAAAATTGAAGGAACAATATGGCCGTCTAGAGTGTCGACGTAATTCCTTTTCCCTTCGGGTTTGCCAACCCTGGAACGTACTCCCAGACTCAGTTGTATCCTCTCCTACCTTGGACGTTTTCAAAAAACGATTAGATATTGCTCTGAGCTCCGAGCATTTCGCTACCTAAACTGCTCTATTGTGGATTACTCCAGGCATGTTTTTCTACAGGTTTTATGCATCAAACGGACCTAAGTGAGCGACCATATTTTACTTTCCTCACTCCTTACATCAACGATCTCTGCACCCCAGTGTCTTTCTGAACGTCTATGCTGGATAATGTTTTTAAAATTTTACACCGATGTTACTTATCAAACTATTCATCAAGGCAGACGTTCGGTAGATGACCCAAACATATCTTGCTTTCATCATATTCACCCCAACCATCCTACGGGACTTATCAATGGCTTGCTTTTATCTCGTGATAATTTATTGTCCATTGTACTGCGGAATTCTACCGTAAAATTTGCTTTTTTGGCATAATGAAAATGGAAGGTCGCGTGGGTACTCAGACGCAATACCACCCAGACACAGGCGTATGATGGCGGCAGTGGAGATTGTCTAAAGATGACTGACAAGTTAGTAGCCCCGCTTAACCTAAATATCGGTGACTAAACCAAAAGTATCGAAAGATTTATGATCGGCTGCGTTGTGGTGACTTTATTATTGTTGTTATCAGACAAGTTGGTAGCATTCAAATTAAGCTAAACTTTAACAAGAAGCTGGTAAGCTGATAGATACACCTCGTTGATGAACTGGAAAGTTATTTAACATATTCAGATATTGTTTTAAATCACCAAGAAGCAATGCCGCCAAAATTGCTTACGAGTTGCTCCATTATGAAGTTACTGAAGTCAAACTACTATTGGAACACGAACAAGTTTGGAACAAATCTGAATCATGAGTATACAACATTTCAATGGCCTAATTGTTTGAGGATAGTCTTAAGAGAGGCTTGATTTGACAAGAAGAAAGGAGATATTTGCTCAAAAGTACGCGTTGGTTTATTTTAATCTAGAAAGACATTTACAACAAAATTTACTGACAGTTGCACTATCATGAAAGTCTGATCTCGTAGCATATTTGCCCACATTATAAAAACACAATATTTTGGAAAACATGCTGTCGGATCTCTTCGCTTTTGTTAGTACGGTTTGTTGGTGGTAGTTTGAACGTCGTCGTACTTTATCAGTTCAGGCACGTTATACTCGCCTCAGAAACTGACGATGAATATAGCTCTGGAGTCCATTGTTCTTAGTTTGAATCCGGATAATCTGTTTCGTTTCTTTTCAAAGCTTCACTGCCAAGTGTATCGTTTTGTGCTAATGATATAGGAATAAAAATCTAGTTAAAGCACAAGGTCATCAAAATTGTGATCACAGAATTGGGACAGAAAGCCCACACAAAATACCCCGGACCCCAAATTTGTCTTCTCCTGGATCCCCTTCCTTTCTGATCGATGACGTCTTGGTTGCCGCTTTTAACCAACACGTTACGTGACTCTTGTTTTCCAGACTTATTTCTGTTTTCGTGTGGTGCTATCAGGTCTGAGGTGGACTGTATCCCTTTATTTATCTCAGAAGTCGAAGTATCCACCAAAGTAGGACCATCTTCAGTTTCTGAAAAGTCTTCATCATCTGTTGGTGCTCTCTCTCTAAGGGACTCCTCTGGCTTTACTTGATTACTGGGATTGATTAGGTTGTGAAAAGTACCTAGCTGTGGGTAGTCAGCGTATTCCATAAATGAAGGAAGACCACTTTGTGTGTCAATGAATCCACTTCCAGCATACTCATTATCTGGTAAAGAAAACAATAGAAACAGGAATAAATTTGACTACCGCATGATCAAACAGCGAAAGCATGTTATTGCAGCACATTAATCGAAGCTGGTCAGTAGGTGGGAAGTAGGCGATTCCGGTGGAACATTTACTAGCAAAGCAAGGTATTCTACCGCAGTTGTACATTGCAGATTTATTAAATAGTTTACTGTACAGAAAAGTCTAGCCAGGGAAGTAACTGTTGCGATTTTACTATGATGTATCGCTTGCTTAATATGCTGGAGAGGTGTATAGCCTGAGAGGCATATTCTAGACAGTCTACTTTGGATATTGTGACACAGTTATATTCATGTGTCCTCGTCAACTAAGGTAGGCCTAAATATTAGCACAAATGTATAACGCTGACAATCGTTCTATTCTTTTTACGATGGTGAAGTTGTGTACTTTACGCTAAACACGCATACTCTGACGTTTCTTGGAAAAAAGAACAGGAAATCGAATATCCTGGAGTGAAAAACGAGGGTTGAGAGTAAGTACCGCAGTTCAAAATTAATTAGAGTTGGAGCCTAATTGTTTATTATAGCAATAATTTTGTATCAGTATGCGCAAAGATACCACGGTAACATCCATGATGAATTAACATAATGCAGTCAGATTTTGAAGCAGTTCTGTCATCAAATAGATCATAACTTGCAAGAGCTATTTTGTTAGTATTCTCGCGCATGCTTAAACGCGACGGAGTATCCTTAGGACACAAAAAGCCGAATTTCATTTCTTGAAATGAATTTGAATGTCATTTCTGATCACTAACCTGAATATTAGCCTAGCAAATTTGTCATATACATTGCTGTACATGCGATCTTTTAAGAACACATGTGGTAGTCTAAAGCCACGTTTTAAAGCGTTGCTTTCGCAGCTCTTAACTAGGAGGACTTAATTTGTATGTAGCTTCTAGAGTTATTAGAAGACTCAGGAAGTTAGAAAGGCATTGCGATTGCTTTCTAGTACTGATTTTAAATACATCTATCACTCGGCATTATGAAATTCTCGGAGAAAGGACATAACAGGAAAGCTTTTGGAAACGTTTTGCCTTTACACTGTGCTTCTTGCTGAGAAGAAAATTTCAGTTGGCGCAATTGAACATTGAGTTACGATGCGCTACAAATCATAGCAGATAGGTTATAACTATTGACTAGTTTGCGGATAAGGACTTGAAGTAGTCTCAACCAACTGCTTCCTAACTTAACTCCCCAAATTTTGTTCTAACCTGACATGGAAACTATAATATTTTTTTTGATGACCTCCGTCATTAAGGTTCACTTTGTGGTTGGGATAGATCGATTCCCAAGTACCAGTAGTACCGAAGATCTTGCCACAAACGTCAGTTGTGTTCGACTTAGCAAACATTATTTGATTTGAGTTTGAAATAAGAAAATAATCCAAGCTTGGACAAGTAGTACGGATGTTAGCCATTTACAATGCAGTTGCATTTCCTGCGCATTTTACGCGCTTGTTAGTGAAGTACTTATTTGTTTCTCGGTGACACTATTATTTTGTCACCTGTGAAAGATAGCGCGATGAAGTTTAGCTTTTTGCATATGTTAACACGCAATCCTGCCTCGTTGTGGCACCGATATGCTTAATAAAATGCAGCGGATGACGGTTAGATCGTGGCTTATCAAATAGCGTATCCCTCTCGGTTTTTATGGTGTCCATATCGCAGATCATATGGGCGTATGTTGCAGTAACGCAATTCCTGCTATTCTGTTGTTAACTAATGTAAACTTCTTAAATTTTGTTAGGAACCAACAACTAACACTTGCAATCACATTCGATTGGTTCTAGCTCCTATGACGTGAATTACTATCGATAACAATGTAATGCTAATATTCAGGTCTTGATTCAGCTCAGAATACCAAACGAAACATATACGATGTGCTTGAAATATGTACTCTGAATTCTGTATGGTCGTCCAATAGATTTGCATGTGTTAGTTGGCGAATTTGATGCTACCCAATAGCTGCTCTTTACCCTTGCAATCATAGTCGTCTGGGACCTTGTAACACCAACTGAGGTGGCCATCCACTTCAATCGGGCAACTTGAGAATGGCTGCTTTCTACTAGTGCACATCTTTGAACCCAGCTAACAAAATCTTAAACCAAACCAGCGGGCGGTTATAAGATGTAAGTGTCTGAACTGTTCATGTGGCAGCATAAACTATTGTAACGATTCACCGAGCAAATGAGCCGCACTAAACATGCGTGGTAAAGCTATTCGGAAAGAACCTTGAAATGTCTGAAGCCACATCGTTCGCTGAAGTTTATTTTGTATTGTTGCATCAGATATGTTGGAAGGGAATCTTGATTTGATACGCTAGTTACTCCTGCACATTTTCTTCCGTAACAAAATTTTTCTTCTACATCTCACTCGAAGACCGGAAGTTAACAGTAAAAAACTTAAAGTATTTTTAACAATGCTGCTGATCAATTTTGGTGTTAGGTAACGCAACGAATGGTGTTTGATTAATGACGCAATAGCTACTTTTAAGCAGCTAACTTTTTGTAAGTCGCTTGATCCTTTATACGGTTTAATCACATGAGGTCTCACCTTGAAGTTCATTTGACAAATTTACTTGTTAATATCGCATGTTAAAATCATGCATATCTTGGATATGTCGTTAACGTGCAGATTAAAGTGAAGTTAGGTTTTATCCAAGTAGCTTAAAAAATTACTATAGCTTTAATAACCCAAGTAGGTTGATGAACAGCGTCAAATATTCCAAACCGGTTGGGATAAACACATAAGCTTGACCTAGAAGGGGCAAATTCCCCTATTCATGATGACCAAATACCTTTAATTCTACCACTTAGATGTGCATTAATTTGCAGTATACAACGAGATTTTTCTGTTACTTCACAAATTAACCATGAAAACAGATGATTAAAAGAATGACGGCAAACGCCTAAATTACTAAATTACTACATGTGAAAAATTCTGGAAATGTAACAGCTAAATTTATGAAAAAAGGAGAGAGGCATATATCACTTCAAATAAGACGATTAGTCACAGAAATGAAAAGCGAATTATCCTGGGGGAAGGATCCTGTGACGAAGGATCAAAGGACCGGAAGACCAAGAACGGCTCCAATGCGATCTTAACACAGTGTTGAACTGGTCACTTCAAAACGCCCTACCGTTTAATGTAGACAAATGTCGTGTCGCACAATTACGCCATAGTCCTAACTACACCTATTCACTTGGGACCAACGGACTGCAGAATAGCTCCCAGGAACGTGACCTGGGTGTGATCGTACAGAGCGACCTCAACTGTTCAAAACAGGCTGAGGTAGCTGCGATAAGAGGCAACCAGCATGTCGGCATGCTGCGAAGAGTATTCGAGAGATTTGACCCATCAATCTTCCCAATGATGCACCATTCCTACGTGCGTCCGCATGTTGAATAAGCTATCCAAGCTTGGCAACCTTGGCTGAAGCGTGACTTGGAAGCGATAGAGGCACCACAACGGAGAGCAACAAAAAATGTAAAGGGAATGCGCTATCAATCTTACCATCGAAGGCTGAAGTTTTTGGGAATTTTCAGCGGGCGCTATCGAAGACTGCGCGGTGATCTCATATTAGCGTATCAAATATTGAGTGACCCCAACCGCGTATGTCGCCATTTGCTGAAACTTAGCCACAACACGCAGCTCCGAGGTAACTGCTTAAAGTTGAAGGAACAATATAGCCGTCTAGAGTGTCGACGGAATTACTTTTCTCTTCGTGTTTGCAAACCTTGGAACGCACTCCCAGATTCAGTTGTATCCTCTCCTACCTTTGATGTTTTCATAAAACGATTAGATGTTGCTCTGAGCTCCCAACATTTTGTTACCTAAACTCCCCTACTAAGGATCACGCCAAGGATGCATTTCAACAGGATTTATGTATCAAATGGATCTAAGTGAGCGACCATATTTTACGTTCCTCACTCCTTACCTCAATGATCACTGCACCCCAGTGTCTTTCTGAACGTTTACGCTCAATAGTTTAATCTAATTTTACACTGATGTTACTTATCAAACTATTCATCTCGGCAAACGTTCGATAGATGACCTAGACATATTTTGATTTCATCATATTCACCTCAACCATCCTACGGGATGTGTCAAGCACTTGCTTCTATCCCGTGATAAATCATTGTTCATTGTTCATTGTTCAAAACATCGATACAAAACTTTGTTCTTTAAATTGTGGCATCCTCACGGCCAAAGTACTGAGCATTTTCTAGACGTTGTCTGCATTCACTGGCGTGTGTCAGTAACCCCCTCACCCATTGACCGATTGGTCTAGTTCCGAATAATGGATCAATACCTTTTACAACTTGCTGTTAGTATACAGTTTTGCTTTCCATGTGTCTGACGTGTTTTGCTTCGTGACACTTTAGCTAAGGCCAGCCACTGTGCGTTGGTTGCGCAATTGCTAAACGGACATTTTGGCGACGAATATTACTATGAGCCATCTTACGCCGCCTGATCCCTTTTGAAAGGGCACATCTTCCAAGTCATCCTTAGTAGTTTGGAATCGTTGGAAATGAACCTTCTGTGACTATCTTGAGCTTTTCACAAGTACACGCACCTACTTCTAACTGATGGAATCCCAATCTATCAAACTACTGAGACGACACCTCGGTGCAGAAGGTGAAAGTCATTTTGATGAGTTGCGTTTTATGAAAGCACATTCTTGACGGACTGCTTTAATGCCCTGGATGGCTTTTGGGGGCCGCGGTATTTACTGCACACCTAAGTTGTTCTCATTTGTGACAGGGAGCAGTGGGGAGTGTAAATAAATTCATCAGTCGTATACAACAGTCCCTTCCTGACTGTCGTTACAATGAAATTCCCGTAACTAAATTCGAAATAGCGGTGGCGGTACAATAATTTTTGGTTGGCATTCAAGACGAAAAGGCTAGAGAACGCCTCTTGTCAGAAGACGAGAACAAACTCACTTGGGAAACTGCCTTTTA